AACGTGCTACATTTTCACACAATTAAATAAACCCTGTATGCCAGGAAATATTGTCCTCAGTTTGTGTCTAAATTTTGCCTAAAATGTGTTATTTTGTAATTATGTTGTTTATTTGTTTACATTTTTTCCCCTTTAGTCTTTAAAATACCAATATTTGCCCATAACTTCTTATTTCATGTCAGTTTGATGTCATCATTTAAAAATATTAGATCAGATGATACTCAGTACTCAAGTAGCCTTCTAATCAGATACTTTTTTACCCTTACTTGAGTAATAATCCCTATATCAGGAAAATATTGTCCTCGGTTTGTGTCCTTCCAGTGAGCTTTGCAGATGTGGGAAAATGTCATCAGGCAGTAATCATTGTTAAATTCATAGTTATTCTCGGAGAGAGACCAACTCTTATCTGCCCCTGGGAGCCCCGTAATGCATAGCGTCATTTCAACATGGGGGTGTCCGCAACACGGTTTATATGCAGGTAGCGGCGCTGCGGCTGCTTTATATAGCCACTCGTTGCATTCTCCCTCAACCCAAATCCTCGGATCACGCATTTTAGCTAAAACGCTAACGTTAACTTGCCTTGCGTTGACTGTAGAGTTGTGGGTGATGGTCACGCAGATGTGTCATGAGATTTAAAGCGTTGCTGCCTTTCACAGACTCTTTTTCTGCACGTGCTGCAAACAGGATAGCCGTCTTCTATAAACTCCCTCAGCATTCTTCAAATATCTAAAAGATGCCCGTACTTCCGGCTTTGTCTTCTTTGAGGGATAATAAATGTCCTCCTGAGCGCTGCCGTCTCCTCCTTTGACCATTATTTCAGCTTTAGCTTCAAGAAAGTTTTGGTTGTAAATAGCAAAGCACGCATGTGCCACCGGCAACTTCAGCAGATAATACGGTGGCTGGTAAGGGTCACCGCGCCTACACCACAGCCACGGTAAACCCACCAAGATAATATAGTTTTTTAAAAAACAAGACGGTTATTATTGTCAACTTTTTTTTTACCGAGGTTTACCGCTACACCTACTACACCGCTACACTGCTTACTGTGACAACCCTACGGCTGATCAGTCTGCTTTGATCTATTTTGAAAATTCCGATCAAAACCGATAGGGGCGCTATCGGCCGATTGGGATCAAATGCCGATCCATCGGTGCATCCCTAGTTGTATCCTCACAGAACAAGGCTATCCCAGCATGCTTTGCGCGCCGGATGTGGATTTTCAACAGGCAGAGAAAATGGGGAGAGCTACGAAGTTTTAAACGTAAGTTTGTTAAAAACTAGCCGTAGAAACCTTAAAGCTTAAAGCGGTTCAGTTTATAGACATTATTTGTTTGTATATTTGTTTTTTAAATTACATTTAAGGCAGAAATCAGCCAGAACGAGTTTGCATCGCGGGTCCCAGTTATTCCCATGTGTGTGTGTGTGTGTGTGTGTGTGTGTGTGTGTGTGTGTGTGTGTGTGTGTGTGTGTGGCGAATTAAACTTGTCATTTGTTTTAAGGACAACGGAGCAAAGAAGCGTTTTTATTAAGCTTAGAGGTGAAGAGTGAAGCTGCTTACACACAACCACAGAAGTTCTTCTGTGAAAAGTAGTTTTACATTCAGGGATTTACACAGCTGACACATTTTAATGAAGTAAAACGTGTTTGTGTGAAGAATACAATTTTTATCTTCTCATGTGGATAAATGTAAAAATGTGTTTATTGCCTTTTTGTCACCTGTGGTCTGATTTTCTCTGTAGGACTGCAGGTGTCCTGGGTCAGGAGAGGCTTTACCTGTTGGTCATCCTGGGAGAGAGGCCTTCTGTCATCATGTTAATGTTGTTTAGCTCTTTGATATTTGAACACATTTATTAAAACAAATACTAATAACTTTCTGGTCATTGATTTTATCACCAGTTTTATTATTACAGATGTTTTTGAACATGTTACATGAACAGAAAATGAAAAGATGGTAAGGAGACAAGATTGTTTATAATACGTTACACTCATTTACAGATCAAAACCAGTATGGACCAGTTATGTACGGTTAAAGCAGGATTAACCTGAGTGACTCTTCCTGGATCATTTATTTAAACTGAGTGAGCAGGAAGTCTTTATCAGTGCAGCTGGATCTGCTGCAGGAGGATCCAGGCGTGGATGGAGGGCTGGAGCAGACCCGTGGCTGGACGTTTCTGGCCAGAGGAACATCATACAGGACGGTCTGCAGAGAGCTTTGGGACGCTTCCTCTCACTGTCCACTCCATCGTCCATCTACAGGGCCTGCTGGGCTGGCTCAGACGACAGCTGTTAGATCTCTGTGAATGACTTGCCTGTTAACAATAGTGGTGGTCTGCTGGTATCTCCTCCAGGACAGAGCACCACTGACCTCCTCCACACACACCTTCCTCAGGCTCATCCTGCAGACCCACAACTTCACCAGCACAGAGGCAGATGTTCAGCACAGTGCATGCTGACCTGTAATTGATTAAATAAGTGTTTGTTTTTTTTATAGAAAAATGTAAAACAAATCATTACCTGCAGTACACTGATTCTGTTCAGTTTAAAGAAAAGCAGCAGGGAAAACTACAGAGAATTTACATTTTTAAGACAGATCTAATCATTATTAGGCTTAAGTTGACTAAACAAATGCACATTGAAAACACTTCAATGCTATTTCATTAAAAAGCCTGTTTTTTAAAACGTTTTACCCTCATTTGATGCAAAATAAGTTCTAAGGTCCAATTTACATTAGAAAACATCCTACTGCATTCAACATTTATAATGCATTTGGTTTATATTAATTACCTACACGATAATACTCTGTAGAAATGTGTTGTGTACGTTTAACAAGTTCATTCTGTAGCTTAAAACATACATTAAACCATCTAAAGTTAACATGTAAGTCCTGAAAGCTTCTAGAATAAATAAAATTACCTGAAACGGTTGTGAACAAACGCTGCTGATGGTCGTGAAGCTGCTGTAGCTCCTTAATATTCCTGCTTCATTTTCGCTAGCTTTAGCATTTTTCATTTGCGTGTAGCTGCCGCCACGGCTGTGACGGGACCTACGGGTCACCATAGAGGTGAAGGCTAGACTGTCCGAATTCGCTGACTTCCGGTTTTAGCGGTCTTAAAGGACCCAGTCTTGCTAGACCGGCGAGGACCCGTACTCATAAGCATCCTACCTGTGGATTCGAACACACCCTTGGTAAGGCTGTTCCTTCCTGGAATGTGAACTTCAGCTCAGCTCTGCTTGTGAAAGTTTGAAGGTTCTCAGCCAAATGTTTACATTGGCAGTCTAAACCCCAAGCCAAATATTACGAACTCTTTTACCTGTTTTCTTTTACTGTTTTGACTAATTAGATACATTTTGAAAGAAGTGGTTTCATTTTGACCTTTGTCATTTTCTTTGGAGTAATGAGCTGATTTTGTGAGACTTGATTGTTAAATATTACGGTGGGACCTTGTGCAATGCTGTAGAACTACAAACACTTCTATACAGTAAAAATGTAAAACGTACGTATTCAGTGTCTCAGTTACTCCCAAAACTCCCATGACATCTACAGTAACTTTACTGCACATTTCAAATGGCTGTACAAGTAGGGCATAGTGCTGTCTTGAGCATTTTCAGGCGTCACCAAATATTCTTGCAATGGAAAACACTGAAATTATAAACTGTCATAGTGAAATCATGACAAAGCCATTTGACTATCTTGTTCATAGAGATGGTGTCAAGACTTTTCATTTTGATGGCACTGACAGTTTCATTGACATGAATACTTGCTTTAAAGGAATGGATTATCAATTTTGAGCATGTGACGTGCTTTTGCAGGCTATCCACTAGGTTTTGCAGTTTGCAATAATTGTTTTGAGGAATGCACTAACTGCTGTGCAAATGTTAATAGTGTTCTGAGGAACGCACCAAAGCGACTGAGAAAAACTGTAAATGATTTCAACTTGCTTCAAATGTGACTTTTCTTTTTGGACCTTACAGCACCAGGATAAAGTCAAGGTAAAGTTTGGACTTGATGTTGGAATTCATTCCACAATAACAATAACGTTGGTGACGGTGTCTCAGCAGTTGGACATTTGTCCTGTTGTCGGCTCGATCATGGGCTCTGTTTGTGTCAGTCATTTTTCCTTCCCCGTAGCTGAAGGGTTGTGGGTTTGAGTAAACTGTGTGAAGAGTTCAAAGATATCAAAAGTTAAACTTCTGAGCCATTGTTTTAAAATTAATTATTTTTTGTGATCCATCTGCAGACAGTAGAAGACAGTGTTGTCTGAAACCAAACCAGCTAAGACTGTCATGGCTCGAGGTAAGTGTCTAACCCAAGACATGCAGAATCAGCACACGTAGTCCAAAGCAGTAAAGTAAAATGTCTTTATTATAAAAACGGGAACTGAAACCGCACAGGGAAGTCCTGTGGGATGAGCAATACGGCTCGAGTCTCTGAGGTGCTCAGGTTAATCAGTAGAGGAGGGGAAGCCGGGGAGGACGCTGGGCAGAGGATGAGAGATCCAGGAGGGGTGAGGTAGCAGAGGGAAAGCCAAACAGGAACGGCGGAGGAGGATGGGACGTGATGAGTATGTTCCAGAAAACGAAGACAGCGAGGGTGAGTAGATGATGAGATGATCCTGAGCGAGACAAAAACAGGCGTAAGGGATAATCCAATTCCAAATCCAAAATACAATCCAAGGTCATAAATCCACTAGTCGAAGGCGAGTCAAAACACGAATTAACAAGATCAAAGTTCAGAGTCGAGTGGCTGGTGCTACCTAAACTGGTGCAATCATCCGGCAAAGTGATGTGTCTCCATCCTCCTTTTGAACCCGCGTCCCTGATTGGGAAATCTCCTGCAGCTGCCGCTCCCCCTGCTCCTCACCTGTGGAGAATTAGCTCAGAGTCTGGTGAGAGGAGAAGGTGTGACTCACCTCTGCCCAGGAACATGACAGTGCCCCCCCCCCTCAACGGACGCCCCCCGGCGTCCTAGCACCGGATCTGGAGGCCTCGAAGTCCGAGATGAGAGAGGGGTCCTCGATGTTGGACCGGGGAATCCAGGAGCGTTCCTCCGGGCCGTACCCCTCCCAGTCCACCAAATATTGAAGACCCCGACCACGGGGGCGAGAGTCGAGGATGCGCCGCACCTTGTATACCAGCCCCCCTTTGTAGAGCTGAGCAGGAGGAGGCGGAGCCGGAACCGGGCACAGAGGGCTGGAAACGACGGGTTTGATCAGGGAGACATGGAACACAGGATGGATCCGAAGAGACGACGGGAGTTCCAACCGCACGGTCGTCAGACTAGGGACCGCCATGACCTTGAAGGGACCAAGGAACCTAGGAGAGAACTTCCTGGTGGTCGCCTTCAGCGGGACATCCTTGGACGACAACCAGACCATTTGACCGGGAGAGTAGGTGGGAGCAGGACGACGGTGTCGGTCAGCCAGTCGCTGATTCCTTTCCGCGGTCCGCTGAAGAGCCGACCTCGTGGTGATCCAAGTGCGGCGGGCCCGACAAAGGAACTGAGGAGTGGTGATGGTGGCATCTGTATGAAGGGGGAACAGAGAGGGCTGATATCCGAGGGAGGACTCGAAGGGAGACTGACCTGTGGCGGAGGAGACATGGCTATTATGGGCATATTCGACCCAAGCCAAATGCTCACTCCAGGTGGATGGGTTGGTGGCGCAGACGCAGCGAAGCATGGCACCCAACTCTTGGTTCATCCGCTCGCATTGTCCATTGGTCTGCGGATGAAACCCCGAGGTCAGAGCCACCTGGGCTCCCAAGGCGGTGGCAAACTCCCTCCAGACACGAGACACGAACTGGGGGCCTCGGTCAGAGAGGATCTCTGTTGGGATCCCATGCAGACGAAAGACATGTTTAATTAAAAGCTGGGCCGTGACGGCAGATGTAGGGAGAGCCTTTAACGGCACTAGATGACAGGCTTTGGAGAACCTGTCGACAACAGTTAAAATGACACTAAAACCATGCGAAGGTGGCAACCCACAAACAAAGTCCAAAGCAATATGGGACCAAGGACGGGACGGCACTGGTAGGGAACAGAGTAGGCCTGCTGGAGACTGATTGGTACCTTTTTGTTGGGCACAGACGTGGCAGGCCGACACATACTCCTTCACGTCTCTGTAGAGGGAGGGCCACCAGAAAGATCGCCTGATCAGAGCAACAGTACGTCCTACTCCAGGGTGGATTGAGAACCTCCCGGTGTGAGCCCAGTGAATAACCTTTCCTCGTAGTGCCTGGGGAACAAACAGTCTGTTGGAGGGTCCGTTACCTGGGCCAGGATCCACCTTAAGGCCCTCCAGGACCTGGTCTCTTATGGGCCATGTTACTCCAGCAACGATGCAGGAGGCAGGCAAGATGGTGCTAGGAGCCGTCTCATCTTCAGAGGAGTGCTGGCGAGACAGAGCGTCAGGCTTTGTGTTCTTTGATCCTGGTCTATAGGACAAAACAAAGTTAAAGCGGGAGAAGAACAAAGACCACCTATACTGTCGAGGGTTCAGTCTCTTTGCCTCCTTGAGATAGATCAGGTTTTTATGATCAGTCCAAATGATAAATGGTAGTTCAGCCCCCTCCAGCCAATGTCTCCACTCCTCCAAAGCCAGTTTTACTGCCAGTAACTCCCTGTCCCCCACGTCATACCTGCTCTCGGTGGGTGTCAAGCGCCGTGAGAAGAAGGCACACGGATGAAGTTTGTGGTCTTCTGGGGATACCTGAGAGAGGACTGCGCCAACCCCGGTGTCAGAGGCGTCCACCTCCACAGTGAACTGCTGCTTGGGGTCTGGTCTGGAGAGGACTGGGGCCTCGGTGAACCTCCTCTTCAGAGTCCTAAATGCAGCTTCGGCTTCTGGAGACCAGGAAAAGGGCTTAACAACAGAGGTTAGAGCTGTCAGAGGGGCTGCGGTCTGGCTGTAATTGCGGATAAACCGTCTGTAAAAGTTTGCAAAGCCAAGAAACCGCTGCAGTTGTTTCCTGGTGGCAGGGGTAGGCCACTCAGTCACTGCTTGGACCTTGTCTGGGTCCGCCCTCAGCCGTCCACTTTCTAAAACAAAACCAAGAAACTTAACTACTGAAACATGAAATTCACATTTCTCGGCTTTTACAAATAGTCTGTTCTCCAACAGCCGTTGGAGTACCATCCGAACATGTTTCTGGTGTTGATCAATGGACCTAGAAAAAATCAAAATATCATCAAGATATACAGATACAAAGTCATTAATGTAGTCCCCCAACACTGAGTTCACAAGTCTCTGAAACACCGCTGGAGCATTAGTGAGGCCAAAGGGCATCACCAAATATTCAAAGTGCCCCAGGGGTGTCTTAAAAGCTGTCTTCCATTCGTCACCTTGGCGGACTCTGACCAGGTGATATGCATTGCGGAGATCCAACCGCGTAAAAACAGTGGCATCTTGCACAGGTTCAAAGGTTGATGAGAGTAGAGGGAGTGGGTACTTGTCCTTCACCGTTATTTGATTTAAACCCCTGTAATCAATACAAGGGCGAAGCGATCCGTCCTTGGCCACGAAGAAAAACCCAGCTCCCAGAGGGGAGGTGGATGGCCTGATTATGCCATTGGCCAGGGGCCTCCCATCCAGGGAGGACACTGTTAAAGGTTCCGGCAGTGGAACAGTAGACAGTCCCCAATCCCGCACCAGTTGAGGGTCCACCAAAGACTGTTCACATCCTGAGTCTACTAGAGCAGTCGTCCGGTGGCGACGACTGTTAACAGTCAAAGCACAGTCAATAAGAAAACGGGAGGTCTCTTTACCTGAATGACTGCCCACCAGAACTCCCGGAACTACTGGTGGGCACGCCCTTTTGACGCCGCAGGGCAAGTGTGCACCATGTGTCCTGGTTTTCCACAGTAAAGGCACAACCCTTTACTGTAACGATGTTGGCGCTCCTCTGGAGTAAGGTGGGTACGTCCCACCTGCATGGGCTCCTCGGGTGAGTCCAGAGGAGGAGACCTATGGGATGGACGATGTGCTACAGGTGGTGACAGATCCCTGAATGGTGTCTTCTGAAGCTCCCTGTGTCTCTTGTCGATAGAGATGCATAATGAGATCAGTCCGTCCAGGGTTGATGGCTCGGGGCACAGAGCCAGCTGGTTCCTTACCCGATCGTTCAGCGCTTCGATGAATGCTGCTTTAAGGGCATCGTCTCCCCATGATGTCATTGCAGCCAAGGTCCTAAACTCCAGAGACATGTCAGCCACTGACCTTCTTCCCTGCGAGAGGTGCAACAGTCTTTTTCTGATGTCAGTGGTGGTCTCTGAACTGCAAAAAGTCAGTTTAAAATCCTCCAGAAAGTCTGGGTAAGAACCAGACAGGAAATTTGGATTTCTGCTCTTAGCCTCCGCCCACCGAAGCGCCTTGCCTCTAAGTAGTCCAACAATAAACGAGATCTTCATTGAGTCAGTAGGAAAAGACCTCGGGGAGTCTTCAAACGCTAGGCGGCACTGTAGCAGAAACCCAAAGCAATCCTCGAATTCACCGGAGAAGGTCGGACATTGCCGAGGAGGAGCCGAACGGAAGTGGGTGATTTCCGGAGAGCCGAGCGCCTCCGGTCCAGGTGAAACCACACCTCCCGAGGCGTGTGCGTGTGGTTCTGTTCCGAACGCCGGAGCGGCGGCTGTCGCTGGAGCGGGGACGGAACCCGAGGCTGTAGAGGAGAGCTGCTCCTGAAGCTGCTGCAGGACGGTCTCCAAACGTTGATAACGTTGGTTGGTGATATTCAGCTGCTCCATGAGGACGGGAAGTGTCTGCTCTTGTTGGGACATCCGGGTAGCCAGATCCGCGAGTGCTGACTCCGCTGGATTAGATGTGTGGCCGGATGATTCTGTCATGGCTCGAGGTAAGTGTCTAACCCAAGACATGCAGAATCAGCACACGTAGTCCAAAGCAGTAAAGTAAAATGTCTTTATTATAAAAACGGGAACTGAAACCGCACAGGGAAGTCCTGTGGGATGAGCAATACGGCTCGAGTCTCTGAGGTGCTCAGGTTAATCAGTAGAGGAGGGGAAGCCGGGGAGGACGCTGGGCAGAGGATGAGAGATCCAGGAGGGGTGAGGTAGCAGAGGGAAAGCCAAACAGGAACGGCGGAGGAGGATGGGACGTGATGAGTATGTTCCAGAAAACGAAGACAGCGAGGGTGAGTAGATGATGAGATGATCCTGAGCGAGACAAAAACAGGCGTAAGGGATAATCCAATTCCAAATCCAAAATACAATCCAAGGTCATAAATCCACTAGTCGAAGGCGAGTCAAAACACGAATTAACAAGATCAAAGTTCAGAGTCGAGTGGCTGGTGCTACCTAAACTGGTGCAATCATCCGGCAAAGTGATGTGTCTCCATCCTCCTTTTGAACCCGCGTCCCTGATTGGGAAATCTCCTGCAGCTGCCGCTCCCCCTGCTCCTCACCTGTGGAGAATTAGCTCAGAGTCTGGTGAGAGGAGAAGGTGTGACTCACCTCTGCCCAGGAACATGACAAAGACAACATTTTTCTGAATTGCTACTAAAAGAATAAATACAGCAACTTTAAAAATGTCTCTTTTTGTTTATTTTGAGTTTGTGTTTGAATGCCTCAGTGTAACAGCGTAAAACTGAGAACATTTCCTTACAAGCTTCAAGTTATACTCATCAAAGGTAGCTAATTGGACTTCTCAGTGTAGAAAGTTTTTTTCCAAGTAGTGTTACAACAAATACAGTAAATAACCAAACATACATTTCCTTGATGCCTTTGACAGGTTTCATTTTTGTTTGAGCCACCTTTTAGAAAAATTTTAAACTCAGAAATTTAAGACGTGGATTTTATCTGCAGCCTTTATCTGTTATCTGGTAAAGATTTACTTTATTGAGGCATTTTTGCTTGTTTCTTGAAGACACCAAATAGCTGCTGCACCAATTCAGAACCCTGGAGAGCTCCCTGGTCCTGAGAAGCTGCAGTGACTACGTTGACATGCAGCCAATTTCCAGGTTATGATCGGGTTAAGGTCGGCATTCGGGTTTCTGAGTTGATCAGAATAACCCGTTTACAAGCATAAATAGAAAGAGTTACCCCTAACTTGCATAACCCGATGTAAATGTGGACGTTGGGGTAGCGTCAGGGCGTATGGACTACGTCCAGACGCAATATGCGTCATTTCCGGTTCTTCTTGTTCCGGCATCCGTGAAAACAACAACATGTTTCCCAGTTCGGAAGAGATAGCGACCGCGTTTGTTTGCGCTTTAGTTTCCTTGTCACTCCGAAAGTGTGGTGCTGTGCTGCGACTCG